AATTATTGCTGTAAGCTTAAGGAGTTAGAAAGGAAAACTAAAAGTGGCAACTAACAATGTTCAAAGAGACGCCTGGATATGGTTAATGACGCGTGAAGAGTGAATGCACGTTGAAACTACATAAGAGATGGGAGAAACAAATTCCTGAAGGAGAAAATGAGATATAGAGCCAGAATATGAAGCCAGCTGAAGTGGGATGACACGGCGCATGCTCCACTTCAGAACCTCGTGAAGACGATCCTCACGTGCAACACATGTCACACAGCAAACTTTCGCTGTGATACAACGAAAATTTGAATGAGCACGTAACTTGTGTCAATTGCACAAGAACATGAGAACAACTATTGTTGCAAATACTAAAGGTGCCATAGAAAGATCATGATATATATGTAAAGTCGAAGCACTGTGTCATGAAGACATTAGGGAGACTGGATTTAAAACTTCGACATTCTTGACTTGAAAAAAGACCCTCGGCAGCCATTGGATAGGACCTTGTGTCTACAAACGGGCAGGTTCTGGACGCTGTGGAGTAGAGAAAAATTTGTTGCCCGTGCCGGGATTTGAACCCCAGCCGTCCATCCCGTATTCGGTCCGTATACCAATTGAACTATCCCGGATTCATTATAAATATTATATAATCTAAGTATACATGTGAAATACTTATATCTCTGAAAGAGGACTGGAGTTGGTTAATATCTAATATTTCAGTAATTAAATTCAAGAAATCATAACCATCAGTCTATCGTATAGCATTACTAACACATTCTGAGAATTTTGGAGCATCAAATAATGATTTATGCAGGCCTTCTTAGGATAGGTGACTGTATGGGCCCAAGATGCACTGGGCACAAGGAAATGATCGGGGACACGAGGCATTCATAGAGAATTCTGAGGGGGACAGGGAGGGCCGACATGGAAATGCGATATCTGCTTTACGGTCGATGTTAAGCGGGCGGGCAGGCTGCAATGATGGGAGGTGGCTCAACTGTCTCATACATGTGTTCATTACGAGTTATTTTATTGTTGTTCAGTTCTATTGCTACGGTGTTATGTTTAGCGTTATTTCTGTAGCGGCTGTGCAGTCCACCCAATTGTGGCTTGTATTTCCTGCGGGTGTAATTAGTTCTGCGTTCAGCGAAACCAAACTGTTTTTTAGTGACAGTGATCTAGAATATACATAAAAACGTAAAGCTATCCTTGTAACAGGCCGTGAAGGTCCATAGGGGTGTGAGATGTCGAGGCTCCCACATTTTCTAGATATTCGACTCATAGATGGCGGTGAAGTTGTCAGTCTTACGCGTTGGCCGCCTTTTTCCCCAGGAGCATTCCTGGTACTCATTTCTGTTAATGCTGAGTCGACCCCAATTTTAAAATTCAATGACCTCATCTGGAATCGAACCCGCGACCTTCCGGCTTGTAGCACTGTAGCCGTACTACTGACACCACCAGCTTTGTTTGTAATCAAGATTTCTTTTTATGGTAATTACGCACAGGATGTAGTAAGGAACATTCAAGGGTGTCTTAGCCCGATTCTTGGTTTCAAGAATAGGGCCTGCTTCACTGCTACAAAGACCAGGCAGGAAGATCCCTGCAGAGTTTTCCTGGAAATTCAGTTCGAAAGTTGACCGGCGGGATCCTTTGGTAAAGTTACACTTGACAGGTTTTGAACCCCGTAAGTCAAAAGTGGGAAGACCCTCAACCTACCTTACTGGTATAATTTTTCAAGCAGCTGTCAAAAACGACGTTAGGACTTTAAGGCCCAAAGTCCCAAACTACAGATAGATGATTGGAGCAGTGAGAATTAGGCTAAACTCCCCCCAAAATTTGTTTTAATCAGCCGAAATTAGGGTAGTAACTTGGAGGCGGAGCTGAAGCTGTGAAGATTTCTTGCTTCAAAGCAGAGTCAGTCTGCTAAAAGGGCTCTGAACAACTCTTCAAGGGTACAGCCGAAAAATTAGCGTCACTGGCAGTTTGGTTCAAAAGTCAAAGTCAAAAACAAAAATTATGTTTAAGTGTGTTACTGTAACAGTCTCTGAATTACTCGGCAAATTAATTAGACGCAAAAATTAGTGTGAATCTTAATTTGGCTTAAAAGATTAAGTGAAAGTGTAATCCCTTCTACGTGTGGTACTAAAAATCAGTCGCTAAATAACTATCCAGGGATCCGATCGCAAAAGTTTGAGTGATTTCAAGTTTGTTTAAGGGATTAAGGACAAGTGCTGTTACCTGAATATCAAAAAGTGCCCATTAAACAGTGTGTGGTAGTGCCTAGCTAGAAACACTCTTATCTTTCCGACTAACGCGAGGCCCGTATGCACCCTGAGACTGAATCTCATCGCTCTAGTGCGAGTGCAGTACCTATCACATGTAGTTTCCGGTTCATTCCCCCTTTTCCCCGAATAGCAAGCTTACTGGGGCCCAGCATTCAAGTAGCCAATATCCCGCAAACAACAAATATCCACAACAAGGACGCAGCAGCAAACTGCAAACTCCGAGTACCAACAGGTGAGAGTGAACGGCTAGAGGAGAAGCTGCAACCCGCAACGTAAGGGCCAGCAGACGGTTAGAGCACAGCACTTCAAGTAACTACGCTACCCCGTCCCCCCTTCCCCTCTGGAATAAACATGCATACATAAAATATCTAACCTAGTGACGTCTCAGATTCGGTTAGAGATAACGTGCAGACAGCTGGACGGACAGACGGTCGGGGAGTCAGGGGGCCGAAGCTCCGTTCCCGGAAATTAAAAAGTGACGCAAGTTGTCCGTAACTGTAAAGGGGAAGAGGAAGTCGTGGAAGAGAGAGAGAGAGAGAGAGAGAGAAAGAAAGAGTAAGCTTGGAAAGAGTAAATGTTGGGTTGTCACAAACGGCTGAAAAATAAAAGCAAAAGGAGGTGTAAAACTGAAAATACGCCTAAAAGAGGTCAGATTGAATTAGGTAGGACATTGAAAATAGTGGAAAAGAAGAAGTAGAAGAATGGAATGGGGGAGAGAAGTTCTTGGCAAGAAGAAAAGAATATGCGGAAAAAGAGGTACAGTAGTTTTATAGATGCAGTAAGGTTCAGAAAAGCAGAAAGTTGGGGAGAGAATTCGTTAGGTTTCTCTGGTGCCGCACAGTGTGAGAACTTTGCCTGTTTCTCTATTCCTCTTACCATGCGTGAAGGCAACTTCATTCCCAGACTAAACCACACTTGTAGATGCAAATGGAAAAACATAGCAACTCGCATATCTAAGAGTTGAGGATGGAGGGCGCTGCTTTCGTCTAATACGAAAAGCGCAACAGAGGGCATGGACTGGCTGAGTCTAGCAGCATATGCTCATGTAAGGCACTGCTCTCAGTTCCTTCGTCCTTTTCTCTGCTGTTAGAAACTACTACAGCATGAAAACCAAACCTTAGCAGCATGATTTCTCGAATGAAGTTGGCAAGGAGTTGGACAACAAAGGACAATGGTGTAGACCTAACAAGAGACAAAGCAAATAATACCCATAATAGCTTTCTATATTCTGTAGCCACTTCATGAGTTATTTTGCTAATCAGCTTTTACGTAAAGTTGAGAAGTTATACAGCATAAATATCATGAACCATGTGTAAAGGCGCATCCACATTACTCGTGCTCGCGTGACTCGCTATGCTCGTTAGTATTGTGGACGACAAGTCACGAAACAAGCAAATTTAAAATGTTTAATTTAAAAACTAAAGCCAATAAATTAAAATATGACTATAGCCTATACACACTACGAGTAAATATACGGATCCTTACGCGCCGAAGCCTGGCGAGCAACTGAAGTAGTGTGGACGAAGATTTACGAGCACAAGTAAAAGCTAAACGAGTCTCCCGACGAGCACGAGCATGAGTAATGTGGACGCGCCTTTAGATGGGTTTGGAAGGAACAGGTTCTAGTTAACTTTATGTCACTATTCAAGGATTTTCACGGAATATCTGAGCAAAATAAACAAAACACCTGATCAATTTACATAGTTATAGGTCCATATTCTAAAGGAATATCAACTGAATATAAATCACACTGGTTAATGCGGTCCTGCGTTTCGATAACGCAAGTTACCATATCTGACAGCTGTAAATATAAGCATATATACACGGTGTTCTAAATGAAACTTACAAAAGGACAAAGCGATATGAAGTTAGCAACGATTTTAGTTCCAATAACTTAACAGGTGTTGTATGATAGTGAATTTGTTCAGATCGATAGGCATTATGTAAGCATAAGTATTTTATACGATATAGAACATATATTTTAAGTATCCCTGTTTGTTCCGGGTGAAAACTTCGCGAGATATATCACTGATTGTACTTAGAAAGTGATATTGATTTTCAGTCGAATGAAAAGTAATGAAATTCCAGCATTATGAGAATGTATTATCGGAACAAAAATCTGTCCAGAATTCAAAAGATATTCGCAAAATTATCATTAGCTCCGGAAGTAAAGTGAATATAAAGAGAACCGAAAACGGCTTACATATGAAAATATAGGGGAAATGCTGCGTGAAGGTTAATCAAAATATGTGTGAGATATATATTACGAGATCATATAAACATTCATTTTAGACCCTGATAATTATGGTTGAGGCAATATGCTACATGCCGGAAGATCGCGGGTTTGAGTCCCGATGTGATCATTGTATTTTTCAATTGACCTGATCCTTTCAGCCGCACTGTGGCCCTAGGGTCGACTTAGCTTCTAACAGAAATGAGTACCAGGGATCGTCCTGGGGGTAAAAGGCAGCCGGTGCATAAGGCTGACAACCTCAGCGCCATCTGTGAACAGATTGTCTAGAAAATGTAGCAGCCTCAACGTCTCACAACCCTGTGGGCCTTAACGGCCTGTTACAAGGATAGTTTTACCTTTTCTTGTTACCCTGACAATTATTCAAACTAAAATAAATTATACAATGGCCAGGCAAAATTTAGTATCTGTTCACTGGGAGAAAAATGAGACATATCGGTCAAACAGTTAACTGCAAGTTTTGATGCTATACTTACGTCCACCGTAACTCCGGGCAGAGGGAAAAGCTGGGCCGGTGGTTGATCCCGGGGGACATACCGGAAGAATTCGTTGCCGTCCTTATACCACTTGACTGAATACAGAGCCTCTCCTTCCAAGTCGAAGTGGCACTCGAGACGCGCGTTCTGATCACGCACAGTGTGCATCGGTATTCGCACCTCGTTGAGACGCAGACAATTCACATCTGGAACACGAGAAAAGGGGGTGGCGGGTCAGCTTAGGTCTCCGGTTCTGTTTCTGGTGACTGGTTCCACTCGGAGCGTCGGCCACTAACTGGCCTATTGTGCCAGCCTCGGATGGTAGATGATGATGAACGTGGAGCAATCGGTAGAATGAGATTTGACAGGGGAAACTGAAGTACTCGGAGAAAATCTACCTCAATGCGACTTCCTCCACCACAAATCCCACATGACTTGAACTTGGTTCGAACCTGGGTCGCCGCGGTGGGAAACCGGCGACTAACCGCCTGAGCTATGGCACGGCCTTCTATGTTACATCATAGTCACACGTTCTGAACTATCTCTCTTAAATACCTACTGATGAAATGTTAGCAGAATTATCAGAGAAATTTGTAGATACTGTGATATGTCAACGCATAATTGACAGACAACGGCTAGACAAATACTCCGCGTTACACGCACGTAACAATGGAACAACCAGATTATGCAAACTGCTTCTAAACAACGGCTCGGTAAACATACTTCCGCTCAGGCGCAATGACGTCACAATCCAACATTACTTAACTATCACGTGACTTGTTTTCTCTGTGGTCGGCGCTACGCAGCAACAGAACTGCGTTGTCTGTGTTGTCCGTGCGGAGCCTATATAACGTATACTTGTTGTAGCTTTGATTATTTGCAGAGTCCAGGAGGGCTCAGCAGCTGAGAGTACAGGAACGAGAATGGAGCGTGTCCTTAGTGAATTGTGAAGATTAATTAAGTACAGATTAGGACAGAGGAGTACAGAGTGACTGAAGACGAAATAAAAAGAAGACTTCATAGTGATTTGAAGTCTTAGTTTCTGTGTTGAGATCCGTTGCCAGGAGACGAATAGTAAAGATGGAGAATCCTAGTGCGTGTGCAGCGGTGAAATATAAATTGTATAAATCATCGATAACGCTGTATTAATTGTAACAAAGGGGGGAGAGGGAAACCGAAGTGCCAATAAATCCAATATTCCGGTATAGATCCCGTTATTTTCGTCAGGCGTACCACCCTACACGTAACAATATGTACCTACGTGTCGATTATCTCTACAAACTAATAATAAACCTTTGCGGAAAATATCAATCCAGTACATTTTATGTATAAAGCTCCCTGTTTCAAGATACTGTGTCAATAATATCAGTCATAATCATCGACTAAGGAAAAAAGAAAGTTGATCATGAGTACCGAGGAGAAAAGTAATTGTAACTTCCTGATTATATGCTCTATATTCAGAAACTCGATAAATAAATCGCGTACCAACCATATTTTCTGTTCAGTTCTCTCATATATATACTTTGTATGTAGGCCTACTTTTACTGGCCCAAATGATATGAGTTTACTTAGTTTTTGACACGATCAGTGAAAATCTACTCCTGCCGCCTCTTAAAATTTGAATATAATTTATATATTAATATGGAAAATTACGAACAGATATTATGTTTCAATAAACGTGAATAGGGCTAAACAAATAGATCATGTACAAAGGCTACCCATGATAGAAAATGTTCAATAATATAAAGTTATAGCAATATATATAGTAAACATTATATGTTATTAAAATCACGGTGCAAACTGACATCGGAAAATAACAGGCGGTTGTGCACTGTCACAGAACATATCTAGCGATACAAAATTACATAAATAAGTTTTTCAACACCCGTCAGGTTAATGAAAAATATAAAATACAGACAACATAGTCTAAATCGGTTTCGTACCAATTTTAATATTTTTTCCTTATCACAAAACTGCTATAAAGGCGATGTCTCTTTATCTACAATTACCACAGCAGACATCAGCTACCAATGCCCTACCATCATACGTGTACATTGTTTTCACAATCTTAGAGAGAATATAGACGCGGTTCGGATTGGTAATCGGAATTATTGACCAATTACAGATCGTAACAAGTAAGGATTATGCTTTCGCTGTTTTATGCACTTCATAAATCACTGGACACAACATATTTTTCAGTCTCTTACAGTCTTCATTAGCCGTTGCTTGGTAGCGACTTTCACGGTGGACGTTCCCTTTCATTTGCGTTCCTCGAACTATCGCCGGCCTCAGCTACCAGCTTCTCACAGCAATGGCTCACAATGATTGAATCTCAGCAGTTCTCTGACTGTTTCCAGCTTGTTCTACTTATAACATCTCGGCATGGGTCACATAGAAAACACCGTTCCACTGTTACAGTACAATTGTTGCCGTGGAAACATGCTTGAGGAGCCGATACTTAGCAACGGCTGTTGTATATTTGCTAATTTGGCGGTCGTTGCCTAGCAATGGGTCTATATACCACAGTAATTATGTAAAGTTTGGAATGGAGAGGAGAATGTCGGAGCGGGAGAGTTTCCAAGCAAATGGACAGGTATGTCAGTTTCGAGCATGGAAGGTACCCAGGGCCTAAGCAATGCTCATTAGAATGAGTTTTCGAAGAAATAATTTTCTGAGTCATGTTAGGTCACAGGTTCGGTGAACGAACTAATCTAATTAATGTGGAAGAAATGTAGTCTGTACCTCACAAAATATATATATATTTTTCTGTTACATGATAAACCTTTTCATAATCTATAGCAAAATATTGCTGTTTGTTTCAAAATCACAATGAACTTAAATGTATTGTGTGGATAAAAGGCAGACACAGCTGTTTAATGTGAAAGCAAATGGCATACAGACCTGTATCAACCATCGTACTATTAAGGAATAATAAAGTTTTATTCAGTATGTAGAAAATGTAGCATCGAACAACAAGATAACTGACGAATGATGAAAAGTGGAAGGAATAGGCTGTGGTACATTTTACATAATATCCAAGCTCGTCTGGAAGGACTAACAGGAAGTTCTGGGGAGAATTATTGACCTATTTTCCTTTGAATAGACATGGGCCGCATATAAAACGAAAGAACTTGGGGGGACATAGAGACATACCGAATAATTATGATGAGATATACTAATAACTAGCAACATTCCGTTGCCTAGCAACAATACAAGGGCCACATAGACACAGAAACTGATATCATAAGCCTCCTAACAAAATTTAGTCCTGAAACAGGGACACGCATACAGCAAGGCGATCTCGTAAGCTTTCTAACAAAACTTGGGGGGGGGCACATAGACAGCAAGTGAACCCACAATCCTCCTAGGAAAAATCACAGGAAGGTATACAGCTATATTGACAGACACGAACGGATACACAGACAGACAGATAGGCAGCAAAGTGATTTCACAAGGATACATTCATTAAAATAAATGTCATAAACCTCAGTTATGTTTATCATACTCTGGGCCCAAAATATGAACCAGGAAAGCGAACACAAATTACGTACTACTTATGTATTCATTTTTTATAATGTGACCAGTAACCCTGTTACATTTATCACTGAATCTTAACTTTGAAATTATGATTTCCTCTGCCCCAGGGATTGGAGGAAGGAAAATGAATTGTAGTTCGTACGTTGCAAACTCATGTATCCTTGTAGTCATATTTTCTCGTACATGCTTCCTTTTTATCTCCAGCCGTTACGTATAAATGGCAAACTTATTTAAACTAGCTGGTTATATTTTTCATTTGTTGGAAGTTAAAATGCTGGAAACTGCATAGCCACAAAGTACACGTGTAAGTGAACAAGATAGAATGTTTCAAAGCTGTGGATATTAAAGAAAACTCTAGAAATGTAATGGATATTTATGTGGTAACATCTGAGGAGAGACAGCGACATAAATCCGTTTGTAACGAATCGTTATCTATCAACAGTTAGAAGAAGTAATTAATACCGTTACACTATTAATATTAGAATTAATACAAGCATCTAGTTAAGTAATATTTAATTAAAAATCAATTGAGAAACCCAAAATATTTCAATGCCACAGACAACCCTGATCAGCAAGCAATACTGAAAGAAAATTTTAAATAATTGACGTAAAATTATCTAAAATGTGCTTCCATTTTTGGACGCTTTAGGGATGGCCATTTGGCTCTCAAACTTGCTGGGGATTCATGATTAATTACTGATTAAAGGATGTATATATTTGATGGTGTTCGTGATTTTAAACTGTTAAAGCCCAAATTTTGTACTAAGTTTCTCAAACAATTTTCACGTTCACTTTATACTACCTACAGGTTACAATTCACATCCTACTCTGCCCCTGCTCTCAATTACATTCAGCAAAAGCTCACAATAATGTATGTTGCTCTGTGAGCAATATTAAAACAAGATAATTCAATGAAATACGAGAAGGCCTATATATCAAGTGGCCGCGCGGTCTAAGGCATGAACGGTCTTCTCTCGCTGGAACACTGGGATCGTGGATTCGAATCCCACTCAGGGCATGGGTGTCTGTATTGTGTGCGTTTATTTTGTGTGTGTGCTGTTCTGTGTGTAGGTAGAGGCCTTGCGAAGGGCTGATCTCCCGTCCAACGAGTCCTATCGTCTGTGTATAGAATCAATAAAGTAAAAAAGCGCCCAAGGCCCGACATAGTGCTGTAGAACTATAATAAAAAATATACGTGGTAGAATCATTAATTTCGTGCAATGTGGTTTTATCGCATCATATTACAAGGTATTTACATACACTTATGCAGATCCATGTCGGCCCTCAAAATAGTTGCCGTTGACCGCTAAGCAAGTCTACCAACGTTGATATAGCTGTCGAAAACACTGCTGAAACATATTGGCAGTAAATTCCCGTACGACGCTTTGCGGCCATTCCACGAACTTATTGACTGTGGCAGTATATCAGTATTGTCAAAAATATCTGGGTTCATATTTTTAATGAACAGGTCTCCAGCGTGCAGCAATTTCAGTTTACCCCAACTGAAGTGAGTGATATTAGCTCTTTCTAAGGGGCCAAACTGAGTAGGTGTCTTCCTTTCTCACCTAAGGACGGAAACAGATCCAGTCTCCGCAACGTCTTGTCCTCTATTACCTAGATTTCCGGACGATGGAAAAGTCCAAAAACCCAATAATTCTGTCAGTAGCATGGTTTATGTAACTTCACTACCTACTTATGTAACTATACAAGTAATGAGACAACATGTGATTGTACTGTAACATAACAATAGAAATAATAGCAGGGTAATAACTACCTCATTGCAGTAGCGATAGCGTTTGACTACTGGCTGGACGAACAAGGGGTCGGATTTCGAGCCCCAGTAGGGACAAGACTGTTTTCTCTCTACGACATCCAGATAGGTTCTGGGGCCCACCCAGCTTCCTATCCATGGATGTTGGGAGCCCTTTCCCCGACGAGAAAGCGGCCGGGGCATGAAATTAACCACTCACCTCCAATTAGTGCCGAGGTCAAGAATACGTGCATCTATACCTCCACTCCCCGGTACGTCTTCGTGACGTGATGCTTAATTAACTATGAACAGCGATAACTACCCAATTACTTAAACAATTCCACGGGCAGAGTCGGTTTTAAGAGATGAATAATTCCTCAGCTGGTGAAAATATTCCCAAACATTTATTGAACCCAAAAGTTTATCGCGGTTTTTACAAGGATCCACAGTTGATACCTATTCTGGTCCATATCAGTCAATCAATCAATCAATAAATCTGCACTCTATGAGCCTCTTCCTCTTGTATAAAATTTCGTGAAAGTGCTAGATCTTTCGCTGAGGAATTTTCGTTTTAAAACCGAATTTAAAGCCGTAGGACCACCCATTGTCAGCTGTCCACGATTGCTCATTCAATATATTCGCAGCTACCCTCCGGCCGTAACATGAAAACATGTCTTTCCGCAGTTACACGTGACCCACCTCGTATGGAGTAAAAATAATGACGGCAATATCATCAGAACAATAACAATAATAATTCGCCAAGTTAAGGCAAATCTTGGCATAATAATTTAATCCTCAGTATAAATAAACGCAGACTAACCAGCGATCAACTTCGTGGCTATGGAACTATCACACTCAATAATTTGATCTCATTTAAGCCCCACTAATGTAAATTACATCTTCACCCATGTTCACAGATTGGACTGTAGACGGGGGGTGTTACTTGGGAAGCGAACGCTAAAATCCCACCCTGGTTACTCAACGCATTAAGTTAGGATTATGCAGAAAATGTTTCTGCGAAACCACGCCGTAAGCCAGAGCGGATTGAGGTGCAAGAAATTTCCATCTTGTTTTAGGAAGGGGTACATGAAGATAGGAAGGGGGGGTGTGAAGCCGCAGGCGGTTGTAAATCCATTCTGTTCAACATAATATCCTGAAGAAATAATTTACAGAAATAAAAAAAAATCATAAACGAAGACAAATTTGTCGTCGAAATAAAGGGATGTTTAATTAAATAAATATGAATTTAGAATTGTATTCATTTATCTTAAAAATGAATTAATGTTTTTAAATCCCCGATGATGACATGGGATTTTTTTTTCAATTGATCTAATCCTTCCAACTGCGCTATGGCCCTGGGGTCGACTTAGCCTCTAACAGAAATGAGTACCAGGAATATTCATGGGGGTAAAGGTGCGGCCGGCGCGTAAGTTTGACAACCTCACCGCCATCTGTGAGCCGATTGCCTATAAAATGTGAGAGCCTCAACTTCTGAAAACCCTATGGGCCTCTACGGCATGCAACAGGGATACTTTTACTTTACTTTTACAATATTTTTAAATAAACGTCGGATGTTGTTTTCCAAATTAAACAATATTTGTTTTATCCTGCAATAAACTGCATTAACAGTTACGAGCCTTCAGTCTTTTACAGAAAGTGGGAAAGCCAGTCTCACCCAGCCGCCGACCGAAACCCATGAATGCATTACACTTCTGGCTAAGATATCATCTGATTAAGTCTCAGTATTGGTGGTTCGAATACTGACGAGTAACAAAGCTCGGAGGAGACTCAGGTCAACTCCACGGAGCAGAACTCTTTCTCAGAGCCTGGGTGTCGATCTCGAAATTCTTCGTCTTCTTAGGAACTCGAAATTTCATTACCATATTCATAATGGTCCGACACCAGATCCTATATTGAACCAGATGAGAACATAGCACAACTTATATCTATAGTTATTTTAGGCTCTTTTAATATTATCATCATATTTACGTCTAAATTTCCCTGTCTTTTACTCTTTACAGGTTTCCTATTAAAATTTGGTTACGATTTAGTATGTGTGCTACATGTGCTGCCCACCTCATTCTCCCTGATTGCATCACAGTAACAATATTTGACAAAGATCACAATACATGAGGAGTAGGGAGAGCTCAGTTGGCATAGCGACCAGGCTACGAGCTAGGCGGCCTTTTTCGATTCCCAGCAGAGGAGAGATTATTCTGTTCTCCATTACTTCTACACCGGCTCTGAGGCCCACGCAGCCTCCTATCATATGGGTACCGGGGGTAAATTCCTAGGGGTAAAGCTGCCGAGGTCAAGAATGGTGGAGCTATACATCCACTCCACCATATACTTTCATGGTATAATTCTTAATTAATATAAGTACAGGAACAATTCTTTTACACAATATAATACAAAGCAACTGCATGTCGTGTAATTTTCTCTTTACGCCTTTTGACTTCCATTCCCTTAGCTGCAAAGATTCTTCGTCATTTTGTTTCGAAACACCCTCGTCTATCTTCTTCACTTCGGCTGAGAGAGGGAGTACCACGCTGGGGTAAACAGGTAAATAACAGTTGAGTGTATGAAGGTCATTCCAAAAAACCAGTTCCAAAATTGTTTTGAAGGGT